AGCAGCAGTAGAAAGTAATCGGTGAATAATTGAGTAGAGGAGTGCTATAAAGTACATTGAAATTTTTTTCAATATTGAATACTAGTTATTTTTTATTAGGAGATTTCTATGTATACTCTCACAGTTATCAAAAAAAACCAACAAGAGAAAAAGGATTGTTACATATACAGAAAATGAAAATAACATATGAAGATTCTGTTAAAAAATGTGAACCATACCTAGAAATATATGCATATCTAATGATCTTTTTTCTCTTGTTGTTTTTCTTTCTGATAACTGTGAGAGTGCACACAGAAATCTCGTAATGAAAAATAACTACTATTTAATATTGAAAACATTTCTGTGTTTTATAGCATTCAAATACTCATTTATTAACCCATGAAAACGTAAATTTTCAACGTGTTTAAACATATGAAAAGTGTCCGATTTTGTGCGTTTAAACGCTTGTGTTTCCACTCACTATAATGAGTTCAAAGTCGAAAATAATTCAACTGTTAAAACGCAAAAATTCGGACATTTGTCGACATGTACAAGGCGTTAAAAGAAAAAAGAAAAGTGTCCGTTAAAATGTGTTATTTTGTCATTTCTGACTGCTTGGGTACTTACTGTTCGAATATAGTTCAATTGTTTTTCGTTTTACTGACACATTATCATATATTATATAGAAGACAGAAGAATAAAAGAACATCTGACGTGAGAGTAAGAATTCTGATATAAGTCATACTTGATAGCTCGATTAGTAATTTTAATCTTGTACCAAAAAAATGTTTATTAAAATAGTTACAAGACATCACAATGAAGTAAATGTTATTCTTTGACACTTATATGGAAGCCATCGCTGAGAGGGTTGTTCAGTGATCTAAATTTCTGACATAATGTGTCTTTTGAGTGGCACCGTTACATTCATGTCATTGCATCAAAGACTAAGAAGCGAAACGAATAGATTTAACTGTATTTCCATCGATGTATATCAAATATATGAGAAAAAATAACAACGCCAAATTGAAACAAATGTAGAAATGAACAACAAACATCATGAAAGAAAGAAAAAAAAATGAAATGAAGAGGAGAAAAAACACCAAACGAAATATACGCTCGTACACAATTATTGCTGATGATCAATATAATTGAAACGGATAGACATAGCAAATGAGAAGAATACGCAAAGAGAAGGAAAGTAAAAGTTCGATTGACGATCATTGTATATGAACCGATTATTTGACAATGATAATTCGATCATCTCGGTATTAAAAGCACTTGATAATCCAGGAGATGGTTGATCGTTGTTTGGTGAGAAGAATGTCGCGTGTTCCTGTTGTTGTGTTGATGAGTCGATGGTGTTGAAGGTTGTTGACGATGTATCAGAGCGATGATTGGTGACGTGTTGACTTGTATTAGTGTTTGCTTGTGGTGCTTGACTACAGACTGTGCTGTATAAACGTGGTTTACGTTGAAGAGGTGGTCGACGGTGTGATTGAGGATGAGATTTAGTTGAGCATGGGGGAGCATAAAATGACATAAGAGGAATTGAATTAGCAGGAGCATTGTGAAGTGGTGGTTCATTAACGTCAAGTTGTAATGACATAAGTGGTTGTGGAGTTATTGTTTCATGAGACAATTGCCGTTTTAATGTTTTATTTGATTGTGCTGGTGCAGTTGTGTGTGAGACATGTGATGCCAAAGTATCAGGAGTAGAATTTTCTTTCTCCTTTATAAATTAATCACCATTCCATTCTTTCACGAGAATGAAACTCTCCAGTTATCCCAACTCCACACTACTAGACTCATTCAGCTAGCGTGGACACTTTCTCCAATCTTAAATGCCACCACAGTCAATCGTTTCTCATTCTTCCCATCTTCCAATGAAACTAATCTGTC